ACAGATTTGACCAATGTCACGATTTCCGTAATGTCTTTATATAACTGGTTCGGATGTTTAGTTAACACCGTAAATATTTAACAAAATGTGTACTATTATGTAATAGCTGAATTTGATTCTTAACGACTGTAAAATTACCATCCTATACCTACTATTTTACGTGTATATTTCAAAAAGTAGTTGATGAACATTGAGAAAATTTCCTAAACATTAGAAAACATTGACAAAAAATGTTTGATTATATTTTATAAATGATACTTTTGTTTAAAGTAGAAAAAAAAACTTTATGGATAATTTAATAAAACTTCTCTTTTTAAAATGGGTAATCCAATTTAACTTTTGGTGCACCACAGTATTAAATGACAAAGAAATGTTCAAGGAGAAATTTGGAGGAAAAATAGGTTAGAGCAGGGGTCCCCAAAATTTTTGTACCTGAGAGTAAATACCAGAAACTCGGTCGAATGGCGGGCACCATTTCTTTTTTCAAGATAAATTTATAGTTGGTAGACATAGGTAATAATACACACTACATATAATGCACAAAAAATGCACTTCGGGAGCCATGTTTGGACCATAAGCAAAATAACTTTAATGAATTTTAACTTACATAATTTTTCCCTTTTCTCTTTTTTACTTTTAGTGAGGAATTGACTTACCCAGTGGCCCCCATCCCCCCCCCCAAGCTCTTGGGCGCATTCTTGGGCAAATTCTAAATTCCCCCCTCAAAACTATTCGTTTTATTTAATGTAAAAATTCCTCTCCCCCCCCCAAGCTTTACCACCTCCCCCCCCCTGGTGGGGCCCCTGGACTTACCCAACGTTCCTATTCAGCGATGTAAAGATATCGAGACTGTACAAGATGGATGTAGTGCACGATAAGGACTCAATCGAATATGGCATTGAGGACGATAGGTATCTTAACTTATACGAAACATTTTAAAAATCGACATTGTGTCTTATAAGTTATAACATATGTAAAGTAAGGATTTTCATTTTAGTTCATTAATATATATATATTACCCTGAAAAAG